AAGAGTCCCAGGACCATAAAATAAGGGAAGGGGACCAAGACAGTTGTCCAATGAGGAGTTTATGTCTTACAAAGTAAAAAAATGTGAATTTCACTATGAAAAGTGTGAAAATAAATTTTTTATTTTTTGTTTGCTGGCTCTGTTGGTATGTAAGTAGTTATTTTGTTATTAATTCATTACATTCCATAAATACTTACAGGGTATGAAGTTTGTGTAAGGTGCTGATCTATGTACAAACCAGAGTCCCTGTCTCCACAGAGCTTACGTTCTGACAGGAGACAGCGAGTACTAACTACCTCAACTCCATGGAATCTATGTCTGTTAGAGGAGTGGACAGTATGGGAGAAGGAAGTAGAGCAGGGTGGGCAGTCAGCGGTGCAGGAGGGTGTGTGGGCGGGCAGCAGTGCTCCATAAGGTGGTCGGTGTAGGCAGTGAGATGGGAATGAACATGTGGAGTACCATCCTGTCCGGATCCCCAAGGAAAGAGGGTTTCCAGAGTGGGGAGCAGCCAGAGCAAAGCAGGCAGTGTGCCTGGGTGTTGAAGAAGCAGAGGAGGCACGTGTTGGGTGGAACAGAGTGAGCAAGAAAGAGAAACAAGAGTTGGATGTCAGAGAGCACTGAGGGATCATCCTTATTGGGCTTGCAGGTCACTTCAGAAACCAGAGAGGCATTGGAGGGCTTGGATAGAGAGGGGACATGGTTTTACTTACAGGTTAAAAGGGTCACACAAATGGGGCTGGGAAGAGGATAGTCCCAGGGACACTAGTCACTGTCATTCCTCAGGTGAGACAGATAGTGACTCAGCCAAAGTTGAGTAGCACAGGAGATGAGAAGTCACTTTTGGAGATCCAACAGGGTTCTTTCTGCAGAAGTGTCATGTCATGACGTGTCCACCATGTCTCAGAAGACCAAGGCCTGTGAAAAGTGGTGGTGATTTGGGTGCTTGTGTGATGGAGTGAGGGCAGGTTTTAATGGAAATCACTGTGGGCTCTAGTTTTTAATGCACATGTAATTCAGCAGAGGAGAAACACATGGGCAGACATAATAAACTTCAACCAGTTTTCAGTCCTGTTCTAAGAGGAGCCAAGCTGGAGCTGTGATCTCAGAGTATGGTCCCTGGAACATCAGTCTCAGCATCCCTGGGAACCCCTTAGAAATGTGCATCATTGGATCCACCCCAGATGTACTGAGCCAGAAGCTCTGGGGGTGGAACCCAGCTGTCAGTGTTTTACACGCCTTTCTGGTGATTGTAATGCTTTTGGAAGGTTAGAACCCCTGAGTAGAGTCCTTCATGGAGGGCTGGAAACCAGGAACACAGGTTACTGAGGGAGTCTCTTTGATATCACTTCTGGGTTTCAAAGGTGTGGTAAGGTGATCTTGTCCCAATTCAGAGTGGTCACAGCTCAGTCTATCAGGTCAGAGCCTCCCGCCTGGTGCTCACCCCTGCCTGCCTGGGCCCCCCACCTGACAGTATGTGTTCCATGCCTCCCTACCTGTGTCTCTCCACTTTCTCACTCCTGTGTCTGTGTCCACAGAGGAGTTTGTGGTGATTGGCCCCCCGGACCCCATTGTGGCAGTGCTGGGTGGGAACGTCACGCTGCCCTGTCATGTGTCCCCAGCCATGGATGTGGAAAACATGGAGCTGCGGTGGTTCCGCTCCAAGTTCTCAGAAGCAGTGTTCATCTATGAAAACCAGCAGGAACAGAAAGAAGAGCAGCTGGCCCAGTACACAGGGCGGACCTCGCTGGTGAAGGACTTCCTCAGCCAGGGGGAGGCCACTGTGCGTATCCACAAGGTCCAGGCTTCTGACAACGGGCTGTATACCTGCTTCTTCAGAAAGGGAAGTTTCTATGAAGAGGCCAGTTTGGAGCTGAAGGTGGCAGGTGAGTGGTTGATCTATATTTAGTGTCCTGAGAGTTGGAGTTGGGAGTGACCTCAGGGGCCAAGTGAATCAGTCCCCTCATTTTAGAGATGAGGAAAGGAGCGATTTTCCCTTATTGATTAGTTCAATAGGAATCCTTATAATTCTTTTTAAAAATTTTTTAATGGTTATTTATTTATTTATTTATTTATTATATAATTTATTGTCTAACTGGTTTCCATAAAACCCCCAGTGCTCATCCCAACAGGTGCCCTCCTCAATGCCCATCACTCACTTAATTCTTTTCTTGTTGTTGTTAGAAAAATCATCAGTTTATTTCTTTTTTTTTAATGTTTATTTTTGAGAGAGACAGAGACAGAATGAGAGTGGGTTGGGGCAGAGAAAGAGGGAGACACCGAATCTGAAGCAGGCTCCAGGATCTGAGCTGTCAGCACAGAGCCCGACGCAGGGCTTGAACTCACAAACTGCGAGATCATGACATGAGTTGAAGTCGGATGCTCAACCGACTGAGCCACCCAGGTGCCCCAATCACCAGTTTATTTTTAAGTTTTCTTTCCTAAAAGAAAGTATTACGACTTGAGTATAAAATCACATTTTTGTTAAATTGATGAAAAGTAAATCAGAAATATTTCTTTTGATTTACAACTCTGTCATCAATGCATGCAAGTTCAGGAGTACATTCTTTTAAAATTTTTCCTCTAAGGACTGGCTAATTATCTGTTACTCAACACCCCTTGCCCCCATTTTTGCATTAATTTGTCTATCCTAACAACATACCAGTATCTTTTTTTTCCCACGCCTGAACTTTATTTATTTATTTATTTATTTATTTATTTATTTATTTATTTATTTAAGTTTACATCCAAATTAGTTAGCATATAGTACAACAATGATTTCAGGAGTAGATTCTTTAGTGCCCCTTACCCATTTAGCCCACCCCCCTCCCACAACCCCTCCAGTAACCCTCAGTTTGTTTTCCATATTTATGAGTCTCTTCTGTTTTGTCCCCCTCCCTGTTTTTATATTATTTTTGTTTCCCTTCCCTTCCGTTCATCTGTTTTGTCTCTTAAAATCCTCATATTAGTGAAGTCATATGATTTTTGTCTTTCTCTGACTAATTTCACTTAGCATAATACCCTCTAGTTCTATCCACGTCGTTGCAAATGGCAAGATTTCATTCTTTTTGATTGCCGAGTAATACTCCATTGTATATATATACCACCTCTTCTTTATCCATTCATCCATGGCTGGACAGTTGGGCTCTTTCCATAGTTTGGCTATTGTTGATAGTGCTGCTATAAACATGGGGGTGCATGTGTCCTTTTGAAACAGCACACCTGTATCCCTTGGATAAATGCCTAGTAGTTCAATTGCTGGGTCATAGGGTAGTTCTATTTGTAGTTTTTTTTGAGGAACCTTCATAGTGTTTTCCAGAGTGGCTGCACCAGCTTGCATTCCCAACCCACTTAATTCTTTATACCCTTTTAAGATATATAGAATCCCTACTAAGTGCCAGGTCCCCTCTGGGCACCTGAATACATCAGTGAACCAAATAGAGATCCCTGTCCTGCAGAGTTTATGTTAAAGACAGCAAATAGACAGACAGATGGGTTATAGAGGATGTTAGATGGTGGTGAGTAGAGACTTAGCTAAGTGGGTATCTGGGGGTGAGAGTTCCAAGCAGAGGAATACTCATGTGAAACAACCAAGGTTGGAGTGTGGCTGGTGTGTCTGGGCAGACAAGGAAGCCATGTGGTTGGTGAGACAGGTTGGTGGGAGGTTGGTGAGGAGTGACAATCCTGGTCCATGGGCAGAGAGAAGGGATTGATCTTGAACACTGCATGAGGAGTACACACTTGAGCAGGTACTTGAGTGAATCCACAAAGTGTTCCAAAGAGCCCTGGTGGATGACGAAGGGCACAGAGAGCATGGTGATTGTGGTTACGAGCAGTTCAGCAGTTAACCAAATAGTCCTGGGGCTGGAGTGGCCCGGGTGGGAGAACTTGGGAAGAAGAGGTTAGGGGCGATGCCAGACCATAGAAGGCTTTGTGTGGTGTATTACGGAGTTGGGAGGAAGAGCTGAGGAAATTTTAAACAGAGCAGTGAAGGGAGGTGTTTTTGGGAGGAGGTTTGCTATGACAGCTGTGAGAGAGGGTACATAGAAGGTGAGCAAGACTGGAAAAAGACATGTAGTTACAGGGTGGGGAGGATGGTTCCCTGAATTGATGTCAGAGCAGTGGAGTGGGAGAAGAGAAGGGGTTCCAGTGTCAGAGATGTTTGGAAAGTAGACCCAACTGAGTGGGTGGATTTGGGGACACAAAGAGTTTGGGGGTTGGAGAGAAGGGACTGGAGACTCCTAAGGTTTTTTTTTTGTTTTAATTGTTGTTTGTTTGCTTGTTTTTTGGCAATTTGTTGTTTAGTAGTAGTATTTAGAAGTATTGCTATTTTGTGTTGTTGATTGCTGTCATAATGCTGTGCAACATAGACAGAAATCTCAGTTGCGCATAGTAACAACCATTTATTTACTTTTGAGCATTAGGGGAGTTCAGCTCACCTGAGCTGTGTTTGACAAATCTTAATTGTGCTTACGCATACATCTTAAGTGTAGGGGAAATATAATTAAAGACAAAGTCTCCGAATCCAGAAGTCGTCTTCACAAAGGTAGTAGGGAAAGAAAACATTTTTATTATGGCATTAGCATTAACCAGTAAGTGATGTGCATCCCAGAGAATCTACCAAGGGGTTTCAAAGACAGAAGAAATCTCACCTTTTTACATAACCATGCAGACGCAACTTGTTACATACATGTTCTCTGGATAGACAGTTACTAGCCCTCAAGTAAATGGACTTGACAGTATCATTTGTCATGGGCAGCGCACCCTAAATGTACTTGGTAATTGGGGTGACCATCTATGTTAGCTGATTGGCTTTATCCCAAGGAAAACAAATTCTCCAATCTTAAAAGTTAAAAAAAGCATTTTAAATTCCAGTGTAGTTAACATGTAGTTTTATATAGTGGCTCAATATAGTGCAATATAGTGGTTCAACACTTCCTCCTGTTACTCAGTAGAGATTTCAACAGAAACTTGTCAGGCCAGAGGGAGTGGCATGATACATTCAGAGTACTGAAAGGAAAAAACCTGCAGCAAGGCTGTCATTCAGAATGGAAGGAAAGATGAAGAGTTTTCCAGACAAATAAAAGTTAAAACAGTTTGATTTTACAACTTCTCCCATCTTTATGGAAGATCTTTATGGAAGACAGGAAGTGGTTTTGCATTTGGGCCCTGGTCCCCAATGAGGTTAGGCTCCTACACTCCCCCAGTAACTGGGAGAGAGGGGTGCTGTCCACCTTGGTGTTAACAGTTCAGAAAGAGGGCTCCCAAGGTCTTGAGAAACACATTCCTGGATCACAACCCTGACAAAAGGCCTATGTAGTTTTCGCAAAGGACGTGTATACATTTCAAAGAGGAGAGAAAGCCCCCACAATCACAAATTTCCTCAAGTAAATGGCATAAGAAAAGGATGGGAAGGGACCTTACTTTCAACAGGGACAAGAAGCCTCTGCCTTTTAATATATTTTGTCCTGACAGTCGACCTTGACTGGGTTTACTCACATGGGTGAAGTTCACTGGGCTGTTGGTTGATCTAGGACAGCTTTGGCTGGAAGGACTGCTCTAGCCCAAGCATGTCCTTCCTGTGGCAGAGGGCAAGGCAATGGCACAAGTACTTTCCACCTCTGCTGGAGTCACATTCCCTGACCACTCATGGCCCAGATAAGTCCATGATGGAACCCGGAAGCAGAGTGTGAAGGCATTAAATATATGTGGCAGAAGGTGAGCTGGATGTGAAACAGGCTGAAGGATTTGGAATATTTTCATCATCAGCCTATCACAGAGAAGCCAAATATGAATCAGTTCAGGGTTTGAGTTTGAAGCATCTGTGAGGAATCCTGGCAGAGCTAACATGTGGATATTAGTGGGAGGAGCTCAAGAAGTAGGTAGGGCTGTCAAGGATGGAAATGATTTACCACAGGGCAGTGAGTGTGCTAGCGGATGCCCTGGAGAGTGTGTGAGGTGAGAAGAGCAGAGAGGGATAGAACTTGGGTCAAAATTCCTTTGTGTTACTCTGGGTGATGGACTTCCCAGCTTTATGGATGGGAGAAGAGCCCTGCCCTCTGCAGGTCCCCATGCTCCTTCCTTCTGTTCCCTGTGGCAGGACCCCTGCTCTAATCCTTGCAGGGACCACTCCCCGGGGAGCCCTGGAATGCAATGCTACACCAGAGTTGTGCAGAGGAAGGCTCTGCTGGCATCCCTGGATTCTGGAAGGCCTCCTTGTGCTCTCCAGCTTCTCTCTCACAGGTGTGGGCTCTGTCCCTCAAGTGCACATCACAGGGCCAGAGGAGGACGGGGTCCGAGTGGTGTGCACGGCCTCGGGATGGTTCCCAAAGCCCCAGATACAGTGGAGAGCTGCTAATGGGGAAAAGTTCCTGACATTCTCTGAGACCCATGCCCAAGACACTGAAGGGCTGTTCAGCGTGGAGTCTGCTCTGGTGGTGAGGGACAGCTCTTCAGGGAACATGACCTGCTCAGTCCTCAACCCAGTCCTGGACCAGAAGAAGGCAATGGCCATTTTCATCCCAGGTCAGTACTACTTCCCATTCCCAGCAGGGCCAGAGGGAGTGGCCTAGGGTTTCTGTGCGTGTTGGGCTGGGCTGCCCTGGTCTGTGCCGCTGATGGGGTCTCTGGCTGGCCGCAGAGCCCTTCTTCCCCCAGGCCTCTCCCTGGAAGCCAGCTTTCATAGTGAGCCTCGTGGTGCTGATGCTCTCACTCCTTGGGGCTGCCTGTTACATCAAGACAGAACATACTGTAAAGAGGCAGGAGATGCAGGAATGGGAGAGACTGCACAGGGACAAGGAGGAGGCCCGGCGGACAAAGGAGGAGGCGTTGAAGGCCAGAGGTAAGGCAGTTCAGGAGCTAAGGCAGGCAAGTGTGGAAGCTGGTGCAGAGGACAAGCTGACAGCAAGGGGCTTGGCTAGAAGCAGGTGGCTGAGCAGGTCCAGAGAGGACAGCTGGAGCTGTGGAGGCGGGTGTGGAGTTAGATCTTCAGGATACCAAGAAGTCCTTTTATGGGTTCTCTAGGTGCAGTCTTTCCTTTCTTAAGGATGGGAGTTCAGACTTATTTTTCACTCTCTTTCAGATGAACTCAAAGAAGATCTCGGTAAATTCTGTTCTTTCCCCAGAAGTTTCTGAGTTCCCTGTGTAGGAGACACTCTGGTTATTAGCTCACCAGTTTCCTGTGTTGTCTTTCAGGCAGGAGAAAATCCATTTACCTGGGTGGTGAGTGACTCTCCAGTTGTCTTTGGGTCTCCTGTCCTACCTAAGCTAAGGTGTCCCTTCTCCATGTTTCAGGCACAGACATACGGACCCTTCCCTGGGGCAGAAGTGGAAGCTGGTGGGGGGCAGGACCCTGCTCCATGGACTTTCCCTATCTGGGGTGCTCTTTCCCACCCCGTGCTTGGGAACCTGGGGTGATGGTGGTCCCTGGAGTCTGTCACGCTTCTTGGGTTTATTCCAGTGCTGAAACCCCACCATCTTGCCAACTTTTTAGCCTTCAGTGCAACTAGTTCTCATTCAAACTGGATGCTCTGAGATTTTGGTAAAGAAGCTATGTAAATAAATGGGGTCATTAAGTTTAGGAGTGTGTCCCCTCCATATAACACCATCCAGGGAGAGTCTTTTCTCTCCAGTTCCTGGAGGTGCTGGTCACAAAGTGATGGGTAGAGGACTGGGAAGACCATGGGTGGGAATGTGGTGGGGTCAGCTGTCAATGCTCCAGAACAGTGATGTGTTTTCTGAGAAAGTTTGGCCCATTTTACCCCACAACTTACCTAACGTCCCTGTCCTTAATTCATGTCCCCTTTTGTGTTCTTTCCCAAATATCTCTTTGCTGGAAAACATTGGATGTAATAATGATTTCTGTTTATAATTATGGAATAATTTATATTTTATTCCCTAAAATATTTTCATAGAAGCAAAACTGAATGGAGATAGAATAAAAATATTTGAGGTTTTTAAGGCACAGGATACTAAATGGCTTTGCAAAAGGCCACACAGCTGCAGCAGGCTGGGGTGAAACTCAGCCTGCAATTCAGGCTTTCTGACCTGTGATCCAGGGAATTTCCCCCCAATACCCTGTTGTCTGCACATCGCAGGAGGATATCTCCTCTCCAGCCTCCCTACTCTGTTGGGAGTGTCACCTGTAGTACAGAGAGGAGGCAAGGCCAGTAGATCAATGCTAAGCATTCTTGTTCTGGCTCATATTTCACTAGAGTGTGTCCCTTTTCAGGCTGGAGGAAGGCGCAGTTGTATGCAGGTGAGTAACTCAGTTTTCTGTGCCCTTACCCCTTCAGCCTCAACTCTTCCCCCTTCTCTGTCAGTACACCCCATACCAGGACAGGGTGCGTGTCCCTGTTCTCCTTGTCATGTAGTCGTTTCCTTGTGAAGACTTCAGGGACTCTTCTGGGAAACACAGATCTGCCTCCTTTCTGACATGTCTTCTACTGTAGGTCACTATTAGGCTTAACAACTTCATCTGAACACACCTTGTTCAACTGATGCTTTTGCTGGAGCAGTGACGAAAGAGTGCTCATTTACAAGGGCAGTTGGAACACAGTAATGGCTTTGTAGACCAGAAATTGCTGTCTCTAGAAGATTTCAGATATCATTCTTGCTTGCTTATGATTCAGGTATTCCTAAGGGGATCCTTGGTTCTGAATCCATTTTACCCTGAAATTCCTACATCTTGCAGATCTACTTTTGATTTTCCTGTTTTTGTCTCGGTCCCCTGGAATGGTGGTCATCATTTGTTTCCTCATGCTCCTTGTCCAAGTTGGGTTTCTTCCTCTAAACTTCCCTGCTTGCTGTGAAAGTAATTGCTTTAAATTGCCTGTTCTGAATCTGAGATCCAGAGCTTCCAGGATATTTATGGACTCCTGGTGGTGGGTCTGAGAGCTACCTGCAATTATATACAAAATCTTATGTGTATGTTTGTGTAACAGAGGAAGAATTAAAAAAATTTTTTTTTGAAAGAACTGTAACTTATAATTGTTCACAACCATTATCTCTCCTTTAGGAGAATTGCATGTTTACCTGATGGGCTTGATACTGGTTTGATTTATCAGGGCAATGTGTGACGATATGATAGGAGAAAGTTAGAGGAGTGAAAATTGTTTATCAGAGAAAAGTTGGGAACAAATCGGGGAAAGAAAAGCAGTGAGGAAGAGAGGAGATGAGAAGGGAGTAGAAATCCTGTGATTCCTCTTGGAGAGATTTTGGGTAGCTCAGAGTGGTGGAAGAGAGACCACAAATCATAATCACGGTGGTTTGAGTGTAAAGTACACAGAGGGTGTGCAAAGTTTTGGGTGCACAAGAAGTAATAAACTCCCTGATACCTCTTTGAGAGATTTCTGAAAAGACTTACAGTATTTTGAGCAGTTTTGAAGTACTTTTCTGACTGAGTTTGCTTCTGATCTGAGACCATCTCAACCTTCCAGTAGCAGTTGGGGCAAGAGTGTGGTGAGGCGGATCCTAAAGCAGTGAAAGGTTATCCAGAACACCACTTAGCACCAGTGTGAGTTAAGAATCTGGGTCCTTTGAACCTGTGTGAGGTGTGTATGTGTGTGTGTGCATGCACGGGTGTTTGTCCCAGCTGTTTTGTTCATGATCATGGCCATGGACTATGAGAGCAGAGAAGGGGGAGCCAGGGTTGCAGGAGACCTGGGGCTAGATGTGTGAGGAAACCCCCTTAGAGAGTCTCACTGATTCTTGGGATTTAGTTATTAAAAATAAGGATCAAATAGTCTTCTTTTAGCATTCCCCCTTCTCTGATGGATTGAAGTGCATGTGTTTTAATGTATACCTTGTATACCTTTTTATTTTGTAAGGACAGATACCATCACAGTAGAATAAATATTTGCATATTGATTGGCTCATAGCGTGAGGTGAACTAATGTCTGAAAGCATCATATTTAAAAATTGAAAAATAATTTGTTAGTGTCATGAATAAGGGGGCCTAGGACATGACCATATTTGGGTACCTACTACGTGGGGTTTCTCCTGGTGATTTTGATCTCTCTGAGCAGTTAAGGGGGGAAGCAGATGACTAGACCTGATATTTTTGATTTTCCCTTACATATAGGGATATTTTTCCTCCCAATAACCCACGAAAAGGGGAAACAAGTTCATAGTGTCTGTCCTTTCACTGGATGTATGTCTTTCCTGCTTGAACTTCTGTCTCTCCCTTCCTTGAAACCTCTCCATTGCCTTCTGACTAGGGACAATTTCTCTGATGCTGTGTCCTGAATTCTCCTCGCCCAGGGCTTGTAGTTGTCTTCCAAGTTCAGCTCTGCCAGGGTGTATGGTCTCTACCATGGCTTAGATTCAACCTCCAAGTTGAGTTTAATCAATTCTTTAGAAATAAATGGAGGCCTCAGAATTTTTTATCTCCCTAATTCTTCTCAAGAAAACCTAGCTTTCAGGATAGATGTGTGGCTAAGGATTCTTGAGAAAGCATAATATGATGGTGAAATCTGGGTCTAGAGCTTTCTTTTCAGGTTGTTATCCAGCCTCTCAGTGGTTAAGTTTTATAGCTTGGCTTTCATGGGAAGGCTGTAGCATGATGGCTGTGTGTGTGTGTGTGTGTGTGTGTGTGTGTGTGTGTGTGTAAAAGAAATAAATGCTTCAGTTGAATGTTTCCAAACGATTTTTCCAAAAGATATCGACACTGATATGTACAGTCACCTCAAATCTCTGATTTGTTGTTACATTTGTGAAATATGGTTCTCTTGTAGACTGGCGGAAGGAGAAGTTCCAGGCCTGTGAGTTACTTCTCATTCTTTCTGGGTACTCCTACTGCTGCCCCATGGCCTCTGATGTCTCCTTTAGCTTGCTGTGGTGATACAAATGCTGGCACCATCAACGGTTGTGCAGTGGGATGGGGCAGTGAAAGTCACATAGCTGAGCTTAGTGGATGTGACTGATGTTGGATTCTATCTTTTTTTTTTTATTTATATATGAAATTTATTGTCAAATTGGTTTCCATACAACACCCAGTGCTCATCCCAAAAGGTGCCCTCCTCAATACCCATCACCCACCCTCTCCTCCCTCCCACCCCCCATCAACCCTCAGTTTGCTCTCAGTTCTCAACAGTCTCTTATGCTTTGGCTCTCTCCCACTCTAACCTCTTTTTTTTTTCTTCCCCTCCCCCATGGGTTCCTGTTAAGTTTCTCAGGATCCACATAAGAGTGAAACCATATAGTATCTGTCTTTCTCTGTATGGCTTATTTCACTTAGCATCACACTCTCCAGTTCCATCCACGTAGCTACAAAAGGCCATATTTCATTTTTTCTCATTGCCACGTATTCTAAATAGATATCTTTCAGTCCTTGAGTCCAGACTAGTCCTGAAGTTCCCTGTCACGCATCTAACCCTCAGATAAGTCTTATGCTTACTTCTCCTGCTTGGAGAGCTGTGTACTTGAGTCACAAGACTCTCATCTCAGGAGGCTTAGCCCTTCCCATATGCAACTAGGTGTCTGAGGGTGGTGGTGGTGGTTTTGTGCCCTTGTTATGGGGCAGGGGAAGGTCTTGCATGATTGGCAACTCTCTCTGCAGTGTCTGTCACTCTGGATCCAGCGTCTGCACATCCTCACCTTGCTGTCTCTGGTGGACAGACTAGTGTGACCTTGGAGGACACAACTG